AACTGAAATGATCGTCCAAATTTCTGCAACCTTGCCCTCCCAGGTGGTCTCGAGCCTGCGTTGCCGCCCGCTGGGACGAACTTCATCTCGAGGCTCCTTCCTGGCATGTCGTGTGCTGAAGTCCAAACTCCCAGAAGCCGTGACTGAAAAGCCCCAAGCTTAGCCTGCAGGCCTGGGATTTCAGGGTCCTGCGACTTCAGATTGGGCCACTGGAATGGTTGGGGGACGGGTTTGGGGTTTTAGGCAGCTTGCACTATAGCCGGTTTTATTGTCATGACATGTGCCTTTGAATGTATCCAAGCATGCATGTTTAATCGTCTGCACATCCCCTTGAACTTTGCAACATGCCTGAACTTTGCAACATGTCACCCCCTACAACACTTGTGGTGTAGGCCTGCATTAGACACCAAACTCTCGTATAAGACCCTCACCCTCATAACCCTGTGACTCTGATAACTAAACTCAACAATCCGAAAGCCGATGAAATTGTCATTTCGGGCTTTGGCTAGCTTCTGGGCTTCAAGGTTTTACTTCATTGTGGATGATTCTGGCTCCAGCTGTCCTTCAGGCAAAAGAAGGGTCCTCTAGGCTCCGAATAGAGGCTAGGGTCAATCATGACGAGATGGTGGAAGCATAGGTTCATGTGAGTCTGGAAGCGAGAAACTTAGTAACTTAGGATGGTCTGCTGCCTAGAGCTGGGTTTGACCAGAGCTAAACCGTAAGCACCGCTTTGCCTCGTTAAGCCTTCACAATCCTGAACTGAAATGATCATCCAAATTTCTGCAACCTTGCCCTCCCAGGTGGTCTCGAGCCTGCATTGCCGCCCGCTGGGACGAACTTCAGCTCGAGGCTCCTTCCTGGGATGTCGTGTGCTGAAGTCCAAACTCCCAGAAGCCGTGACTCCAAAGCCCCAAGCTTAGCCTGCAGGCCTGGGATTTCAGGGTCCTGCGACTTCAGATTGGGCCACTGGAATGGTTGGGGGACGGGTTTGGGGTTTGAGGCAGCTTGCACTATAGCCGGTTTTACTGTCATGTCATGTGCCTTTGTATGTATCCAAGCATGCATGTTTAATCGTCTGCACATCCCCTTGAACTTTTCAACATGCTTGAACTTTGCAACATGTCACCCCCTACAAGACTTCTGGTGTAGGCCTGCATTAGACACCAAACTCTCGTATAAGACCCTCACCCTCATAACCCTGTGACTCTGATAACTAAACCCAACAATCCGAAAGCGGATGAAATTGTCATTTCGGGCTTTGCCTAGCTTCTGGCCTTCAGGGTTTTACTTCATTGTGGATGATTCTGGCTCCAGCTGTCCTTCGGGCAAAAGAAGGGACCTCTAGGCTCCGAATAGAGGCTAGGGTCAATCATGACGAGATGGTGGAAACATAGGTTCTAGTACGAAAACCAATAGGAGCCAACCCATAGGGCGCCGCTCATGAATCTTGGGCTGACACCCAAGTGGCCGGGGCGGCCGCCTCCGCCGCCACCGCGGCCGCCTCCGCCAAAATTGGCAGTGCGGCCGCCTCCGCCGCCTCCGCCGCCTCCGCCGCCTCCACCGCCGGCGGTTCCGGAATTGCCTGGGATGCTGGGCCCCTTCGACTCCCCTCAGGCACTGAGTAAAATCTTAAAGTTCCAGCCAGGCTTTGGGGCCCGGGCTGGATGCATAGTCTAGTTGCTCATTGGAGGCAGGCGCCGATGCTGATCCGCCTGCTGGCTGTGGATTTCCGTTGCAGCTCCAGGCGGTGGAGGCCGAGGCACGGTTCGGGGGTTCTGGGAGTTGGGTTTGAGCCTTTAGCAACGAACCCCAAACCTTAAACCCTAGGCCAAGCCCTGCAGGATGCAGAGCCTGCATTTAGGGGTTGGTCTTTCTTGGAATAGTGTATAGGCTGTGGAGGGTCAAAACGATCCCTGCAGGATCAGCAAAAGCAGCTGCAGCTCCCGGGTGCGAAAAAAAGCCAGAGGCCACAGACGGAGGCTTGGCTTTATAATGAGGGCTTCGGGGGTTCTGGGGGTTGGGGTTGTGCCCTTGAATTAGGCTGGAACGAACCCCTAACCTTAAACCCTAAACCAACCCCTGCAGGAGCCAGATCGTGCGGCGAAAAAGAAGAAAACGAGGTCAGAGGCTGGCGGGATAAAAAGCGGGGCTTAGGGATATTTAGGGCTTGTGCTTTAAAGAAAAAGTGTATACCCCTGCAGGATCCGCAAAAGCAGCTGCAGCTCCCGGATGCGAAAAAAAGCCAGAGGCCACAGACCGAGGCTTGGCTTTATAATGAGGGGTTCGGGGGTTCTGGGGGTTAGGGTTGTGGCCTTGAATTAGGCTGGAACGAACCCCTAACCTTAGACCCTAAACCAACCCCTGCAGGAGGCAGATCGTGCGGCGAGAAAGCAGAAAACGAGGTCCGAGGCTGGCGGGATAAAAAGCAGGGCTTAGGGATATTTAGGGCTTGTGGTTTAAAGGAAAAGTGTAAGCCCCTGCAGGATCCGCAAAAGCAGCTGCAGCTCCCGGGTGCGAAAAAAAGCCAGAGGCCACAGACGGAGGCTTGGCTTTATAATGAGGGCTTCGGGGGTTCTGGGGGTTGGGGTTGTGCCCTTGAATTAGGCTGGAACGAACCCCACCAACCCCTGCAGGAGCCAGATCCTGCGGCGAAAAAGCAGAAGACAAGGTCAGAGGCTGGCGGGATAAAAAGCAGGGCTTAGGGATATTTAGGGCTTGTGGTTTAAAGGAAAAGTGTATACCCCTGCAGGATCGGCAAAAGCAGCTGCAGCTCCTGGATGCGAAAGAGAGCCAGAAGCCACAGACGGAGGCTTGGCTTTATAATGAAGGGTTCGGGGGTTCTGGGGGTTAGGGTTGTGGCCTTGAATTAGGCTGGAAGGAACCCCTAACCTTAAACCCAAAACCAACCCCTGCAGAAGCGTGCAGGGCTTAGGGATTTAGGGGTTGTGGTTTCTTGGAAAAGTGTGTATCCCTGCAGGATCGTCAGCGGATCGGCACCAAAGCTGCTGCTCTCCTGTCTCGTTGCTCGGAGGTTCTGGGGTAAAGTGCAGGGCTTAGGGATTTAGGGGTAGTGGTTTCAAGGAAAAGTGTGCATCCCTGCAGGATCGGCAGGAGAGCGCCAGCAGCAGCAGTGCTGCTGCTCCCCTTTCTCCTTCCTCGGAGGCTGCTGGGGTAAAGTGCAGGGCTTCGGGATTTAGGCGTTGTGGTTTCTTGGAAAAGAACTATGGTCTCCTTAGGAATTATTTTGTATTTTTGTTCATCTAAAACCCAAGAGATTATTCAAAATAATATTTTTGTTATGGTTCTAAGGGTAGTATAGAGAAGTGTATATCCCTGCAGATCGCCGCCAGTGCTCTCCTTTCTCGTTACGAGACCCTGGTGGCGGACGAAGACTTCAGCTCTGAGGATCCAGAGCTGCCAGAGGACAGCTAAGAGCTCTGGCAGGAATGGAAAAAAAAGTTCATGACTGCTGAGCCTGGGACGCTGGGTATGTACGGCTGTTATAAATAAATAAAGTAGGTTACTATTGCTCTGATTTCAAATAGTACACTCTGCACATTGGGCTCCGAGCACTTACAAGTCATCCTGCAAGCCGCAAGGTTATCAACCCCAAACTCTAAGCCCCATGAACCCTAAACCCCGAAACTCGGGAGGCCCCTCAATCCTAGTCCTTAGACCCAAGCCCGTCTGTATAATGTAGGGGTCCGAATCATTGGAACTGCTATCATACTTCAATAATAACGTGTATTTACTGGGGTGAACATGCCCCCAAACCCTATTGTAACTAGTACGGGCCCTACATGATCCAGAAGTAAGGCGCACACGGTTTCGTCCTGGCGGGTGTTGCTGTTTGCTCGAGTTAGGAGTTTTCACAAATCAGGGGGTTGATCTGAAAAACGACTGTAAAGACACTGGCAGCAAATAATATTAAATTAATTTGTTCTCAGAGACAGCAATCGAGATCACTTAGCCCGACGTCGATACAGAGTCCAACTCCTGACATCCTAAACCTTTCAGATTTCAGGAGTCCGAACGATACGGTTACCTGAACCCTAAAACCCTGACCACCGACACCCTCTGGTCCGCATGCAGGCGACTGTGACTGGCCGCCCCCGGCTCGCGCTGGCTGGCATCCAGCTTCCAAGCAGGACCTGCTGGGTTGTGTGCAATTGAAGGTTTGGGATAGTTTGGGGTAGTACTATAGTTATTTAGTAGATCTCAACTGGAAATGCATCCCTTTGTAGCGTTCTTGTTGGGTTGCTACGAGGTGCGTTACGGCTGTATCGGGCTACTGTGTGGCAATGTATAGGGTCGTCATAGGCCAAAGCCCAAACCTCGGCCTTAGATCTTCGACCAAAAATGCGGAAGCTTCAAGCCATTCCAAAATTCCAACGGCGTAACAGCCAAAAGTAAAAGAAACTCTTAAACTGGAGGTTGCTGCTGCGAAGTAATCCTTGTCCTTCAATTAACGGTCCTAGCACATTTGTAGAGGGTGCCGCTACAGTCATCTGACATTCATGTATTCTTCCACCAGCGGATCTGAGAATTGTTGTAGGGTCGCAGGCTCCTTAATTTAAACCCTAATCCCTAAGCCCTGAAACTTTGATTGGTTGTTTTGGGAATTGGGTAATGAATCTCCGAGGCTTTCGTCTTTTCGGCTCAGATCCCAGCGACATCACAGAGAAGTAGCACAAACCGACAATTCTCATGGAAGTGCCAAGCCACCAAGCTGGGAGCTCGCCTGAAACCGACCTCGCCTGCTGAGTCCCGGAAGACTGTAAACCCCGACCTCGCTTGGTAAGTCCCGCAAGACTGTAAACCCGGATGCCGGAAACAAAAAAAAAACAGGTCAGAAGCAAAGTGTAAAATTTCGACATACCAAGCCAAACTCCCCAGACACTCCACTCTACCAGCTACTAGGCGAATCTCAGACTAGACAGAGTGTTGGCCTCTGCAACTTCCTAGCGCTTCCAGTGTTGTCAAATTCATAATTAAGAACCATGGCCGAGATCAGCTTGAACGACATCATGCGGCTTAGTGCATGTGACCTGCGGAAGCAGCTCACCGACAGAGGCTTGGATACCTCAGGAACACGGTGGTCTCATGCTGTGCGGCTGGCGGTTTTCGTTGACCTGGAGCTCGTAACATGCTGCCCGAAGCTGAGAAACTTGGTGAAAGAGACACTGAAACTGCCCGATGCTGTGGCCGTTGTGGCCGTGCCAGACAGAAAAGAGGCGGCCGTCCAATGCGAAGCGCCAGAGCCCGAGGACCTCGATGCAGTGGCCGTGCCGGACACAAAAGAGGCGGCTGTCCAATGCGAAGTGTCAGAGCCCGAGGAGCCGCAGAGGACAACGCCGCACTCCTCGCGGTATCGGCTGCGGCCTTCGCTGGGCGGGAAATCAGACTCATCCGCACCCATATCGGATGACCCGGCAGAGGACGAGTCGTTTTGCAAATGCTGCTGCCGCCACGAGTGCATCTGCACCAAGCATCTCGTTCTGAGTCAGAGTAAACAATGTTCGCTACTACTACTGCTTCGGGTTTCGGTTGTTCCTTCGGTATTCTCCCCGAAGGTGTGTGTAATTAATTTTTTTTGTGCAGCATTGTGCATCGCCACTGAGGAAGGTTAAGGAGATGAGACGCCTCGCTCAGTACAACTGCCCAACAACCGGCAAGTCCGAGACATGGCTGCGGTACAAGATCGATAGCGATGGCACGGAGCTGGTGGGATGCAGTCTCTGCCAAGCCTATGCTTCCAGCGGATGCTTCTTCTGGAATTCGGAAACAGGTTTTGGAAACTAATTCGTCCAGCTTGGATGGCTTTATCATAACGTAACGTAGACGGAGACCCAGGTCATGCCTTGCATGGCCGCCAGGCCTTCGGACGCTTTGAGCTTCGAGTGGCGGAGAAAACCGTACAGGCAAGGGACGCTGTGCCTAGGCAGCGTGTCTGCGTGTCTGTGAGTTCAGACAGTAAAGTCTTGATATCAAGCCCAGCTCCAAGTTGCCAAGGTGCACGGACATGTGCACAAAGCCACATCGGACCATTCCAAAGCATTGGCGTTCATGCGGAAGGGCATTGTCGATGCCGGTGGCAAAATCCGCATTCAGAGGCAAATCTCCATCTCTGTGCAGGAGGAGCTTGTGGGGTGAAAGCACTTTTGTTCATGTTGCCATGCCCATTCCTCGCTATGCGTTCCTTTTCCATTTTGGCCGAAGTTGGTTTGTGCCAGTCTCTGCCGCAAAACAAAGCAGGAGAACGCCATTCATTTCGCATACTGTGCTCTGCGGCAGGGGCTGACTGGTTACGAATACCAAGCAATGGCGAAGGCATGCTATGAGGCCAGCGGATTAGTTAGCTGGGCTGCGGGTAATTTGTCCATGGTCCTATTTAGCTTGATCTGCGAAACAAAACGACCAATAATTTTATGAGTAAAGTGGCGACTTTGACCAGGTTGAGGCAAATCTGCCAGACGGTCACAACGGCCGGCGGTTTTTCAGTGAGATTTGTCGCTGCACTGCAAATCGCAGCTTCGACATCCTGCTCCAGCAAGTGCAGGCATCTCCTGTGTTGAGTGTGAACGTGGACGAGGGTGTTTCTGGCACTGGCTACTTTGCCATCAGAGTGCATTTCCTGGATGAGTCCTGTTGCCCGACATCGTCTTTTTGGCAGATGCGGCACCTGTCCAGTAAAACCCATGACGTTCTTTGTCAGCAGGCGCGTAATGTTGCAGCGCATGTGTTGGTCTAACATGTTTTTTTAAGTAACTATGTCGCTTTGTGGCCTGGACTTGTCAACATGGACAGGTGCTCCTGTCCCTCACGACAAAGTCTGAGGCGGGCCAGGGCTTGACAAAGCAAGATGTGATGGAGCGCCTGGTCGGATTCACTGCGGATGGTGCCAGTGTGAACGGAGTGCGTAAAGGCAGCACTCCAATTTCTGCTCCGATTCGTGGGCCCACTGGAAATCTAGCGCACTCGCTGCTGCAAGAGAAGCGACAGTTTTCCGAGGAGAACCTGCTGGTGTGTTGGACCCAGGGCAGCAATTTAATTTAATTTAGCTCTTGTCTAAGTAGTAGAGAGTCTTCTGAACAACTCAGTTTTGTAAGTAGTGTACCAATGTACGGAGACAATGAACAAAGCAGCAAGAGAACCCTGGTAAAGTGCATTGAGGTGCAGCGCCCATCGAGTTGATTTGACTTGCAAAAAGTTCGACGAGCAGGAGTACGTCGGAGGGATCATGCAGATGCTGCGCCGAATATGTTCCCATGTATCCCAGAGCACGGCAGCAAAAGCTGAGTTGTCGGCTTTGGCTTCCTTGATGCAGGACACATTGCACGTCCGATCTTGTGAGTCAGCTGCCTCATGCACACTTCGTACGTGACCGCAGTACATGTCTGACAGGAGGATGCAAGCCAAGGAGGTCAGCTTCATTTCGCTCCACAGCGCTTCGTCTCGCATGCCGTTCCCGCAAAGGTGCTGGTGCGATCTTTCAAGGCGATAGTTTCCTATGTCACCCGGCTTTGCGATGCTTGCCAGCAATGTCATCCCTGCCCTGACAAGTCCCGGTATTGTAGTAAGTAAGAGTCCTAATCCTAGTGTCAAGGGTTTCGGGGGAGTGTTGGGAAGCCCCTTCAAAGCTGACTGGCATCAGTACTGGTTGTACTACTACTCTACTACTACTACTACTACTACTACTACTACTACTACTACTACTACTACTACTACTACTACTACTACTACAACTACTACTAGGTTTGGCCTGGGGCGTGTGCAGTCTGGGGCTGTAGACCCCGTTACCCCCGGGGTCAGGCAGAAAAGGGAAGCCTCCAACCGGGAACTCTCGTTATGCCTAACCCTGCATGCCCAAGTACCCAATGTTATTCCGAAACCCTGCAAACCCCAAGAAACCCAAGAAACCCAAGAAGACCGAGAAACCCTACAAACCCTGCAAAACCCTACCCCTTCAAATGAAAATGACTGTCATCCACAGCACGTCCCCAGCCGAGGACTCCAGGGATCAAAACCAAGCAGCCTGGGCGAGACACATCAAGGCAGATGTGCGGACCGTGAAGGTTTGGTTGGTGCTGGCCGTGGCTGCAGATCTTCTGTCATTCTTGCGGAAGCTCAACGTGCAGTCCCAGCGCAGCAGCTTGAGGGTGCTCGATCTGGAGTCCCATGTCGAGCTGTGCATCAAGGATGTGCAGGCTTACATGCGCCAGGGCAATGGTGGCCTGGCATCTGGCTTGAAGCAGCTGTTTCAGCCATACACTGCTCCTCGCCAGGCTGCCGCTGGGCAAGAAAGCAGTAGTAGATTGAGTCAGTCAGTTCCAGTCGAGACTTGTGTCTAAATGGCACGGGACGGTGTTTTGCACTAGAGGTTACCTGTCCTCTTGTCCTTTGACAATGATTTCTCTGCTTTGCCAGGCCACTTTGCTGGAAGAACTTTGCCGGCAGATGCATGTGAAGCAGACTGCTGGTGGCCAGATCCTGAGCGCAAAGTACTATGTGGGGGACCATGAACCGGAGTTGGAGTTGAGACTGAACAACGAGACCTTGAATGAGGTGGTTGCCGTTGCCAAGGCTGCCTGACAAACAAGATGTGGTTGTGGGTGAGGAATTAATAGGGTCTAGTCTAGCGGGGGCCAAGCTCAACTTCTTCCCCGGCCCCAACATACAGTTCATGCGAATCCAAGTGCGAGTTCAGTTAGAACATGTAAATTGAGTTTCAGACAGTGCACTCTCCAGTCGGAAGCTTCCCTGAATCCTCCCAATACTTAAGACTAAGACACCAGCCAGGATCTCGAAAAGTTGGTCCTGGAGGATCTGCGGATGAGGTTTCGCAACGTGGGCATCAGTAAGTTTGTGGCTGTACTGCACCCGACATACCGCCCGCCCCGAGATGGCCAAGCAGAAGCACCACAGCGGGAAGCCGCCGAAGCAGCGAACGAGCCGACCCCGCTTGCAACTGCAGTGGAAGCTTTTGCCAAGCACTTTGCTATGGCTGAAGGCGAATTACTTTCGCAGTGGAAGCACCTTCTCAAAGTCAAGGACCGCTATTTTGCTGCGAACCCGGAGGTGCGCACAATGAAGCCTCATCAGTTTTGGCCTCCAATCCTTCAACAAGTCAAGGAGCATTCTGTGGTGTTGACTGACATTCATAGTTGATAAGTTAATTAGGTTTTCCCGCTCTATTCACACTTCTTTCTCATAAGTTCTTCTTAGGCATGCTCGCCTTGATGGAACAACGTGACGCGTTTGGTTAAGGAAGTAGTACCAAACAGCATTGTTTGCCTGATTCCGTGTCTGTAACCTTGCTTGCGAGGAGAGCCTGCCTGAAGCTTTCAGGGTGGTCAGCTCGCTCATCCTGCTGAGTTATCAAAATTGCGAGGTCGAGCGGGACCTGGCTATTCTGAAACTCGCAAGAAATTTCAGAAAACAAACATTCTGTACTGTTCATTTCACCGACTCGGGTTGCTGCCACTTGAAAGCCATGCATTGACAACTGGGCATTCTGAGGTTTAAATTCTGGGTTGCTCTTCCGATAAACATTGACATTGCATGACAAGGAGGCTTAGTCAAGCTTAGCTTCGGGTTCTGGGGGTCCCTCCTCAACCTCAGGGGCTTATGAGACGACGTATACTAGGCTAGGAGGTCTCTTCTAGTAGAGGGGTCCCTCCTTAAAAAGATCGGGTTGAATTTAAGGGATCTTCAATGCCATTTTGGTCCAGCGAATGAACGAAAACGCGTTCCAGAGACTCCTTGATTCTGGAAGCGGTCCATGTTTTAGCTCGCATCATGACATGTTCACGGTTATGGCGGTCTCTCCGCCTTCAGCAAGACTTAGGAGAAAGATCCGGGAGAAGACCGCTGGGCAGCTAGGAGACGAGACCACAGACCAGCGTGCCAGACTAAGACTTTGCTGCCCTGACATACGAAAAGTACCAGGGCGGCGTCTCAGTGGCTTTTTGGAAAGCGTGGCCTTGGATTGGCTGGCGGCGTGCGGCAGGAAGCCTAACTCGATTGCTGCACGCAAAGGCCACGCCACAGGCCCTGGCTCCATGCCACAGCGAGCCCGAAAGCGCATCGCTGGGAACAACCGCCAGGTCATCGAGGTCGATATCACCGGCCGCTTGATTCCATGATGCTTCGTTTTTTGGCCTACGCTTGTCGTTTCAGACATACTCGTCTTGTCATTGGGCTTCGGACAAAGTCCATGGGTCAACTCAGGATCACCTGCTGTTAGCGACGACGAGTCGAGACCAGTTCGAGCAGAAGAGGTCTGTGACTTCTTAGTGGCGTGAGGCCAAATTAATCGCTGATCAAGCAGGCTGGAAAGCACTTCAGACTGACCAGATCAGCTGCACTGCCCTGGGGAAAGGGCAGCTGCTGCTGGGGTTGTCCAACTTGACTGAGCCGAGTCGAGTCAGGGCATGACTTACTCTCTAGCTTAAAGTGCTGCAGCATGCAAATGTGTCACGTTCGAAAATTGAAAATCCAGCTCACTCAAGTTGGTCAGGGGCACTGGAAGCAAATGCCTCTGGTGATGGACGCTGGTCCTAGTGGTGCAACTAGGGGACAAGTCGCTCCGGAAAAAAGACCCCGTTCAAGCAGTTTGATGCCCCGAACCTGCGTTGCCGACACCCAAGCCAAAACAAGTTGGATTTTCGAGGGTCTTCCGGGCCTTTTGGACTCTGGTGTTTTGAGCGGTGTTGCCTTTGAGATTGAGGGTTGTAGGTTTGGGGTTCGATTGTCGCTCTTGTGGGTAGCGCATTGAAAATGTCTCGAGTCGTGGCTCCTGTAGGGGACTGTAAGAACCTGCAAGTCGGCCCCTTGCATAATTTTATCTTATTATTATGCATATGCCCTTCTAGCTTGGAGGGACCGAAACACCAGAGTCACAAACCTTCGAACCTCCAGGAGACTGCAGATGCAACCGAAGCTGCTGCCGGGGAGCCAAGGGGGGAGGGTTCGGTATCGCTGCCGGCTTGCTGCCTCTTGAGCCTCTTTCTTTACATACAGTTGTTTAGATGCTGAAGGGGTGCTCCCATGTGGGGCTGAACGCCCACCTGCTCCAAGAGGGGCAGAAGAGCCTTGGCTGACTCGCTAGCATACCGGACAACAGTACCAGTTTCTACCGAATCCTAGGAGCGCACTCAAACCCCACAACTCCGAAACATGCAGAAACCCTGCACTCTGGGTAGTGGCAGGCTGCAGTAAAGATTGAACTGTTCCACCTGAGGCCCACGCCGCATTGCTTCTTCCTGGTTCTCATCGGCAGGCTCGGGCCTCAAGGACGACAAAGCCAGACATGCTGCAGTGTGTTTTTTCATGTTTACTTTGCTGGGAGTATAGAAGAGGTTGGCCTTTCCACGCTGCCTCTCAGGCTCACAGGGTTGATCCCAGCGATTTATATTTTCACGCCGCACTTCACTTCCAACATAGCACATAGCTGCTTCACAGCCATGGACGATGTACCCTGGCCGGGGCAGGAGGATGAGGACTTCCCTGCAGGCTTCTTCGGACAACCGAAGTTCCTATCGCGAAACAAAAACATGGACAACGAAAGAAACAACGAAACATGGGCGGAAGAAAAGATGGACGACGAAAGTGACACCGAGGCATGGGCGAATCGCCCAAAAAGATGGTTCCGCTCGAGCTCGAGGAAGCGAGAGTCCACCTATGTGTCCAAGGCCCATAAGTTCAAGTCCGCCTATGTGTCCAAGACCCACAAGTTGAAGTCCACGAAGGTCTCAGAGGCCTCCGAGGCCCAGAAGTACGAGTCCGCCAACGTCTCCGATGCCCCGAGGTACAAGTCCAGCAGCGTCTCCAAGACCAAAAACAAGCACACCGAGGCCCAGAAGTACAAGTCTGCCAATGTCTCCGACGCCCAGAAGTACAAGCCCAGCAACGTCTCCAAGTGCAAGAGGTTCGTGAAGTGGAAGTGGGTCACGAAGTCTTCATGCAGCAGCTCCTCCAGAAGCTCGTCGTCGTGGTGGCCACCCCCGCCGCCGCCACGGCCTGATGCCACTGGGAGGAATCCACAGACTCGCCAGAGCGAACCACTGGCGAGAAGGCGTTGAATCTGAGACACGTTCAAGCCGCTGCTGGGCACCTGGAGAAGCTCAGTGTAGACCTGTGCGAAAACTTCGGAAGGGCAGAGCCGCTTTCACAGAGCAGCTTAAAAGTCCGTGCTGTGCATGCGATGCTTCAAGTCTCAGCAGTCGTAGCGCTCCACCCTGAAAGCCCAAACCTTCAATAAAACTGATCGACCCCAGGCCTGTTTCTCGAAGCCGGGCAACATGCGGCAGGCCATGGTCTCAAGGCGCGATGGAAAGCATGCTGAGTGAAGCTTCGCACTTGCAGTCTGTTCTGGATGCACAAACACGCTGCGGGGTAGCCTCACTCAAGCACCCAGACCAAAAGAATGCCCCCGAAATGGTGTAGATCTGTCATCGAAACTCCCATTGCACACAAACAGGCTGCGCCAGCGAACTTTTGTGCCCGGCACCGAGTGTGGAGTGTCTACACAGAACTCTTGCGACTAAGGAATTGATTGAAGGTAAGTTCTCATTTAAGTCAGGCCTAGGCTACTAGGGTTTATTAAAGTCTTGTCGTCGAGATGATACCCTGAATAGTCGGATCCTTGTTCTAGGGACCCCAACATGCTTCTCAGGAAGTAATACTACTACTAGTACTACTACTAGTACTACTACTACTACTACTACTACAACTACTACTACTACTACTACTACTACTACTACTACTACTACTACTACTACTACTACTACTACTTGCAGATATGCGTCGCATGTCAAAACAATGCGTGTCAGCGCGAAGCCGCTACTTCTGTCAAGCCCATGAAATTTGAAAGTGCCCCTCAACCAAAGGTCGTCCATGGCATTTTCGGCAGGCATAGTGCATGCTGATGCTTCGGTCCCCCAGGGATCGATGCCAGTGCTTCGCCTCTTTGCCTGTCAGACAACTGGCTGCAACGTCCCGCATGTGAGCCCAGGGCACAGGCACTGCTGCAAGGATTGTCGCCTGACGTTCGGGCATGTGCACGCGAGACGGTGCCGGCATCTACAGCGCTCACTGCACCGAAGCACTACGAACCTTGGATCTGTTGAGAATGGGTTGCCTTTTGTGGGGTGTCGAGTCAGTGGTGTGGTGGGCACAGATGGGCCAGCAGCTAGCCAAGAGGGTGCGTCGGAATCTATGGGTTCACAATCGACGATTGGTGGCCATCCGAGTTCTGCGGTATTGCACTTTCCTCAGCCAGACTCCATTCTAGCTGCTCCGATGAACTATGAGCTGGACGTGCAGTCCGGTAAGGTTTCGACACATGTGCTCGCGAGTGGTGCTCCAGTTGACATGCGGGCCCCAACTTCAGGATGTGATGCGACGCCAGTCCTCGAACTTCACGACTTGGATTAATTTTCCAGCGGCGTTAGCGAGCTATGATGCTCTTCTTTATGAAGGGATCCATGACAAGCCTGGGGCGAAATCTATTCGCCGGGCGACCGCTTGTCCCTGCGATGTCAAAAATCAGTGGGCGTTGAGAAATCCGCGACTCCAACAGTAACAAGCTAGTGTCCCCGAAGGAGCTGGGAGATCCCTAACACCCCTAACTTTGAAACCCTAAACCCCAAACCCCGAAACCCTCAAGATCCTAAACGCGACTGCCTCAGCAGTGTCTGGCAAGCCTCGTTCCAAGAGAGCCCAATACCCCTTAATTAATTAAGGAATATAGCTTACTAACATCAGAATATGCAGCCCTATGTATTTTAAACCATCTTCCCATATTCCTTAAATTAAGGGGTATTGGGCGTCAAACTAAAGCAGAAAAGACCCTTACTTAGAACCCACATAGCCACAGATCTTAAATTAAATAAAACCTAACCCCCACATCCTTCTATCCCCAAGCCCTGAACCCAATTACATCTCAACTGCCTACACCCTCAACACGGAATCATCACCCAAGTCCAGTCTCCGGTCTCCTATTTGAGGCCTCGCCGACCGGCCGCTGACGACCGAGCTGCATGAAATGCCAGGGAGAAAAAATGTATCTTGATTTGCTGGCTTTCTACAGCATGGATTACGACCATATCATAGATTACAAGGATTCGGCTAATCACGCGGATTAGCCGGATTACGGATTAGGATTAGACCCCCTCGGCTCTTGATCTGTCCAGATTATGATTTAAGCTATATTCCTTGATTAAGTGGTATTGGGCTCTCTGGGTGCCGATCCGGAGCTTCATCATGTCGGACGCAATGTCCGAGGCAGAGGCCTTGTCTCGAATGTCTTCCCGATTCCTCCAGCCTCGCTGAGACTGGGAAGCCGTGCGTGCGTCACTTCGGACTCGAGATCCAAACAGAACTGTTGTCATTAGTTTCCGAAAATAGGGGACCCTATCAGGCAGCCTAATTAGGACGGATAACCAACAGGCTCGGATAGGTGCAGGTTTTGGCGGGGTCTGGGGCCGGGTGGGTCCAAGC